ATTAAAACTTCAACTTGTACAGATGGTAAATATCGCGTGTGTGTTTGTACATACATACATTTTCAATCACAAGCCACATTTAAATGTACATACATGCCTATGTGTATGTACGTATGATGTAGCTACATCAAATATGTACTTGTGTTTAATTCGATATTTATTCTTTTCCGTGACGATGTCTGTGAAAGTCAGTAAAAGGCGTCTTCATTAATTTAACCGCATTTTAAAACATGTGTCTATTAGCGTTGAGGTCTATAATGAGATATACATGTGTATGTATGTGAGCACACACACATATGTTGTGGAAATGATGGAATGAGATGGTGATTATAAATTAATTAATTATATCCTGTAATATGTAATGTAAGCACTTAGTGTGTGTGTGTGTGAGAAAATATAATTCCTGGGGCAGCATTTGTATATATTTTAATTTTTTGGATTTTTTCCGAATATGACAGATAAGGGACAATTTTGAATCCCTTCTATACTTCGGTTTTTGACCGTGTGGGATTTTATCAATCTGCATGTAAATATATAGAAGATCTCCATCATTCACAATAGGGTTGGGTTACTGTAAATGGGTTTTGCCTTCGATAAATATATCATTAATACGGATAATGGTATTGTCATGCCAAACTCTTTTCAGTTTAAACCACTGGACAAAATCCATGATGGGGTTTGGAGGGTAGACTTCTAATAAAAATTATGGTATGAGAGTTGCTTGTATGAGGTTGAATATTTATATTTCGTGTCAAGTTATAATCAAATAAATTATATCTTACTTTTGATTATTCTTTTCTAAATATCCTCGTAGAAGATCAATGCCCCTCTTTATGACCTCGAAGTACAACTTTAATCCGCTTTATACATTTTAAAATCCCGGGTATCGATGAAAGCTTTGGTGGTTCTATATGTCAGAATTCGTGAGACTACATTGAATGGAAAATCTCATTAATACAATAGTGTGTGTGTGTTCACCTTTGAAGCTCACCTTTGAAGCACTACAAGGCAGAATGTTATTTTATTATCCAAATCGTTACGATTTTATTCAAATGTGCAATTATTTTGTACAGTAACAATTTTCAATTAACAATTCCCCAAAAAATGCATGATTATTGGTATTCCAAATATTTATGTTCATTTTTATTTTCTGATTTTGAATTACAACTGAGTTATTTACATAATCGCACAAATTAATGAAGTTGCCTCGCATTTTACCTTTTTCCCTGGAAAGTATAAAATAAAAATTTTCCTGCATAAATTTTGAAAATAAAACTTATATTTTTTCACAAATATTTTAGCAAATATTTATATTTACATATGGATGCCGATTCGTATATGTATGCACGTTGCCTAGGGTCTTATAATGATGTATATTCACACGATTTTATTTGAATTTATTATGTTTGCAAATGAATTTCAAATCACATATTTGAGTGTGGAATTTTTTGTTGGGCAACAAGTAAAAATAAATATTTGAAAGGGGTGTGAAGCACTGAGGAGCATACTGTTGATTTATAGAGAATATTTCTATTTTTTAATATTAGAATATTTAAAAAAAACCTACAGAAGGCGTGGATTTATTAAAGAATATTTTAAGGACCAATAAAAGGCGTGGATTTATTACAGAATATTTATAAGGACCAATAAAAGGCGTGGATTTATTACAGAATATTTTTAAGGACTTATACAAGGCCTAGATTCAAAAAAAAAACTTTTAAGGACCTATACAAGGCATACATTTATAAAAACATATTTTTAAGCATCTATACAAGGCGTACATTTAAAAAAAATATTTTTAAGGACCTATCGATGCCGTAGATCAAAAAATATATTTTTAAGGACCTATACAAAGCGTAGATTAAAATTAAATATTTCTAAGGACATATACAAGGCTTAAATTAATATAAATTAATATATATTTTAATTACATATAAAAGGCGTAGATTTAAAAAAACAATATTTTTAAGGATATTATAAAAATAAAAATATTTTTATGGTGTAGGTTTTAAAAAAAGTATTTGTATACCCTTCACCACACTGTGGTACAGGGTATTATGTCTTTGTGTATATGTTTGTAACAGGCAAAAGGAAACGAGGTAGATACATGATTCCTTTTGAGAATATGCATAGAATCAATCATGTCCGTCCGTCTGTCTGTCCATGTTAAATTGTGAACGAAGTACAGGTCGCATTTTTGATTCGAATTGGATGAAATTTAGCTGTGCCAAATTTATTTCTCCCAAGGACGAACCCTATTGAAATTGGCAAAAATTGGTTCAGATTTAGAGATATAGCTCCCATATATATTTTCGTCCGATTTAAGGTAAATGGCGCACCAAATTCCAAATCTTTCGATTTGCGCGAAATTTGGCACAGTGTACTGAATTAAGTCTAGGAAGCGATGTGTTAAATTTCGTGAAAATTGGTTCTGATTTAGATATAGCTCCCATATATAGTTTCGTCCGACTTAATAGTGCACCAAAGTCCCTATATATCCTTCGATTTGCACGAAACTTGGCACAGCGTACTGAATTAAGTCTATAACGATGTGTGTTAAATTTTGTGAAAATCGGTTCAGATTTATATATAGCTCCCATATATATTTTCGTCCGATTTTATGTAAATGGTGCACCAAAGTCCCTACATATCCTTCGATTTGCACGAAATTTGGCATCGCGTACTGAACTAAGTCTAGGAAGATGTGTGTTAAATTTCGTGAAAATCGGTTCAGATTTAGATATAGCTCCCATATATACTTCCGTCCGATTTAAGGTAAATGGTGCACCAAAGTCCCTAAATATCTTTCGATTTGCACGAAATTTGGCACAGCGTACTGAATTAAGTCTAGGAAGCGATGTGTTAAATTTCGTGAAAATTGGTTCTGATTTAGATATAGCTCCCATATATAGTTTCGTCCGACTTAATAGTGCACCAAAGTCCCTATATATCCTTCGATTTGCACGAAACTTGGCATAGCGTACTGAATTAAGTCTATAACGATGTGTGTTAAATTTTGTGAAAATCGGTTCAGATTTAGATATAACTCCCATATATATTTTCGCCCGATTTTATGTAAATGGTGCACCAAAGTCCCTATATATCCTTCGATTTGCACGAAATTTGGCATTGCGTACTGAACTAAGTCTAGAAAGGCATGTGTTAAATTTCGTGAAAATCGGTTCAGATTTAGATATAGCTCTCATATATATTTTCGTCCGATTTTATGTAAATGGTGCACCAAAGTCCCTATATATCCTTCAATTTGCACGAAATTGAAGGATATATATTTTCGTCCGATTTTATGTAAATGGTGCACTAAAGTCCCTATATATCCTTCAATTTGCACGAAATTTGGATTTATAATTAAATGAAGAACTCAAAATGTGGCCGAATACACAAAACATGCTGAAACCAGTGAGCGGAGTAGTATAGTCGGACGGGGCCGACCATACGATACCCTACACAACTACCACGTAACTCTAACATTCTGCGGATTTTTAATCCGAGCCTGGGCAATATTTCTTGATATGTGCACCCTTTGGCCGATTAGAGTTCAACAGCACCTCTTGCCTACAATGACATATTTTCCGAATATTACTAATATTCAGTATTCTAAAATTCTAATTACTTGTCCAGATTCCCTTCACCGTGGGTGGTGTTGTGATGCTCGGTTTATAATTGTGGCATATAGATCGCCTCGAAATAAAAATAACAAAAAAGTTTTCAGTCCACTTCATCCCGAATTGTTATGTGATCATCACCGAAAATTGTGGGCGTTGTCCTTGACTATAACTGGAATCTCATGGAAAATTTTAAAGCGATCAGTGCTATATTTCCGCCCTTTAGTGTGGTAATACATAAACATCTGTAAATATTTACGTTTATCTCCCACATCCGAATACATACCACAATATAATTTGTATCAATTTAAAGGCCAACCACTCCTCTTGGATATGCTATCAATTTCTCGGCTCTATGTCCTTCACGAGAAAATATATACGCCATAGAATACAATTTTTTATTTTCACACAAAAGTCATGGTCCATTTGACCCGCAAAATATTGACCGATCTTTATCAAAACAGGTATGCTTATTCTTTGGCCCAATCCCCTTCTCCATGAAAAAATTCGAGATATTTGGGCCATAATTGCGGCCTCTGGAGCGACCAGAAATCTGACAAAAATTAACTATTTGGTCCATTTCATCTCCTAAATATTATCCGATCTTTACCAAAAACAATAGGGGTCTTCATTAAGCCGAACCCATCCAACATGCAAAATTTCGTGAAGATTGGTCCATAACTGTGGCCTGTATCGTGTTTACAAAATATAATGGACAGACGTATACACGGACGAACGGACACACATGTCTAGATCGACTCAGCTAGTCGAGATATGACCATCGGTATACTTAAAGCTGGGTCTAGGACCAATATTTCGCGGCGTTCCAAACTTTTGGGGCTGCACAAAGCTATAATACCCTGACAACATAGTTGTGTAGGATATAAAAATGTAGCCCATAAATATTTATGCCTTCAATAACTTTGGAAACAAACCTTTTTAATGATCTTCTATCAACATTTCATATTGTCGACCCAAATCTCAAACTTCATTCGCCTTTGTTAATTTTCCACTTTCGCAAAAAAACTCACAGCGATTTAAATGCTTCCGTTAAACAAATATAAACCGCAAATGTACTTAACTCTATTTTTTAAATCATTCCGGTTTTCCCTTTCAGCACATAATTAGCAACGTTCAGTACAAAACCAAACAAAATTAAAAAAAATCAGCACAAAACGAAATTCGAAACAAAAACGAAACGAGAAAAACTTTAATTAAATGTGACCTTTTATAGAAATAATTAACAAACAACAAAATACTCGAAATAAAAAACGGAACATAAAAACCAACAAAAAAACACAACAACAATAAATCCAAAAATAAAAAAAAAAAAACAGATCCCAAAAGCTGCCATTATAGTGCTTAGAAACGCTTAAAATGCTACTAAGACCGTCTATGAAAACGCTTAAATACTTAACATTGCTAATTGCCGTACTTCAAATTCAAATTCAGCCAAATTGCGCCAAAACAATCAACGAAATCAAGCGTCAGCTTAACAGACGTGACATCAAAGCCAGCCACAGTCATGCTTCGAAAAATCACAACAACAATAACAAAACGAACAACAACAATAGCAATAGTCATAGCAACAACATTGGATACTATCAACATTTTATCCAATCACACAAGGGAGACGAACAGAGTTCTCAGCTGTGGCATGTTAACCAGTGGCCTGTTACCGCTACCAAAGCTCAGCCAAGTTCCCAACCATTGAAACAAAAACAACAACAACAGCAGCGTGGAATTTCAACAACGTTAACAGTTCACCATGGCCGTAACAGCAGAGGTGGTGGTGGTGTGTTGAAATTCAAACACCATGGGAGAGGTAAGTAAATAACTGATGGCAGAGGGAGAATGACTGTTTGGTTAAACAATCAACAAGTTGGGTCGGCATAGGGTTGCCACCTTCAAGATTCGACTAAAATAAATTGGTCGAAAATTATTTGTGAGAAACTGAGGCGTCCTCGAAAAATATTTGTAAGAAACTGAGGCGTCATTAAGGTAAGAATCGTTATAGACGAGCTGAAGGCCAGCAATAGTTTGAAGGCGAGCAGGAGCTAACGGAGTTTTAATAGACAAGCTGAAGCTCAGGATGTTCTTATGGACAAGCTGAAGTTCAGGGAGTCTTTGTGGACGAGCTGTAGATAAGAGAATCTGCATAGACGAGGAGGTGGTCAAAATATCTGCATTGCATTTTTTTTATAGGCGAACTACACCTCAGGGTTCTTTAAAACCGACCTGAATCTCAAGAAATCCTTATAAACGAGCTAGGGTTTCTCTACAGAAAAGCTGATGCTCAGGAAGTCTTTTTAGGCGAGTTGATGCTCAGGGAGTCTTTTTAGATGAACTGATTCTCAGGTAGTCTTTATAGACAAGCTGATGCTCAGGGAGTCTTTATAGACGAGTTAATGCTCAGGTTGTCTTTTTAGACGAGTTGATGCTCAGGGAGTCTTTATAGTCTTGCTGATGCTTCAGGAGTCGTTTTAGACGAGCTGATGCTCAGGGAGTCATTATAGTTGAGCTGATGCTCAGAGAATCTTTTAGGACAAACTGAGGCTCAGGGTCTCTCTTTAGACGAGCTGATGCTTAGGGTGTCTTTTTAGACGAGTTGATGCTCAGAGAGTCTTTATAGTCAAACTAATGCTGCAGGAGTCGTTTTAGACGAGCTGATGCTCAGGGAGTCTTTATAGACGAGCAGATGCTCAGCGAATCATTTTAGACGAGCTGATGCTTAGGCAGTCTTTATGGGCGAGCTGATGCTCAGGGAGTCTTTTTAGACGAGCTGATGTTCAATGAGTTTTTTTAGACAAACTGGTGCTCAGGGAATCTTTTTAGAAGAGTCTTTATAGACGAGCTGATGTTCAGTGAATCTTTTTTGACGAGCTGATGCTCAGGGAATCTTTTTAGATGAGCTGATGCTTCAACAGTCTTTTTAGACGAGCTGATGCTCCAAGAGTCTTTTTAGGCGAGCTGATGCTCAGGGAGTCTTTTTAGACGAGCTGATGCTCCAAGAGTCTTTATAGACGAGCTGATGCTCAAGAAGTCTTTTTAGACGAGCTGGAGCTCAGGGAGCCTTTTTAGACGAGCTCATGCTCAAGGAGTCTTTTTAGACGAGCTGGAGCTCAGGGAGTATTTGTAGAAGAGCTGGTGCTCAAAGAACCTTTTTAAATGAGCTGATGTTCAGTGAATCCTTTCAGACGAGCTGGTGATCAGGGAGTTTTTTTAGACGGACTGATGCTCAGTGAGTCTTTATAGTCGAGCTAATGCTCAGGGAGTCTTTTTAGATCAACTGATTCTCAGTGAGTCTTAATAGTCGAGTTGATTCTCAAGGAGTCTTTATCGACAAGCTGATGCTCAGGGAGTCTTTATAGACGAGCTGATGCTCAGGCAGTCGTTATAGACGAGCTTATACTCAGGTAGTCTTCATAGACGATCTGATGCTCATAAAGCCTTTTTCGACGAGCTCATGTTCAGGGAGTCTTCATAGACGAGATGATGCTCAGGAAGTCTATTTCGATGAGCTGATGTTCAGGGAGTCTTTTTAGACGACCTGGATCCTCAGGAGTCTTTATAGAAGAGCCGATGCTCAGGGATTTCTTATAGATGAGCCAATGCTCAGGAAGGCTTTTTATATGAGCTGATGCTCAGGGAGTCCTCTTAGAAGGAGCCTTCTTTGACCAGCTGATGTTCATTGAGTCTTGTTACACGAGTTTATGCTCAGGGAGTCTTTCAAGATGGGTAGGAGCTGTTTATAGACAGGCTAGAAGTTAGGGAGTCGTTTTGAGGAATTGGGTCCGTAGGAGTCATTTTGGAGGAGCTGGAACTCTCGGAGTCTCTATATGTGAGTCTATTTGGACAAGCTGAAGCTCTTGGAGACTCTATAGATGAGCTAGAGTTCAATGGGTTTTAAACGGGGAAATTAAATTCAGTGAGTCTTTGTAATAAAGTTGGACCTCAGGGAGTATTTATAGACGAGAGAATATCTAAACACGAGCGGGAGAAATGAAGCTCAGAGAGCTTTCGCAGGCGAGTTTGCGAGTCTCTATAGTCGACCTGAAGAGGGTCTCTATATAGTCGAGCGGAAGAGGTCCTAGATAAACGAGATGGGCTCAGCCACTATAAACGACCTGTACCTGAGCCTGTCTCTCAGACGAGCTGGAGGTCTGGGTTTATGTCAACATATTTTAACTCAATGTGTTTCATCCCCATGTTTCCATCCGTAATAACCTTCCAAATTTCTTCCACAGGTTCCCGCAAACGCCGTAGTGTCTTTCACGTACGCTGGAATCCCAATGAACGTTTCATAGTCGAATCGAATGAAAATCCAGCCATAAATTCTTCCAAATTGGCCCCACATCCGCGCTTAAAAGTATCGAAGACAACAAAACTCAGTTTGAATGCCAAACATTATCTCTGCCACGATAAACTATCACCTGTCTGTGCGAATAAGACACAAGCCTTCAAGGAACGCATCTTGAAAATATTTGAAAAATCTCTAATGGAATCGGTGAATGAATCGAATTTTTATAATGTCGATTTTAAACCGGTATTTGGTGATAGTTTTGAGGAACAATATTATCCTTCGACGTGTTTGGTAATGGAAGCGGGCGTGAGGGTGTTGAAACGTAAAGATCCGCCATTTAATAAACTGCAATTTGGAAAGCTGTTTCCGAAGCAGAAGTTGTTTCGCCAGAAGAAAAATATAAAGACCTGTGCAATTGTGTCAAGTGCTGGATCTATGGCTGGTTCGAAGCTTGGGAGATTTATTGGTGAGTATAAAAATCAAGAAAATTTTGTGGTACAAAAACATAGGAGCTAAATATTGTCTGTTACAAGGGGTTGATTTTAAGGAGGATATTTTTAAGGACCTATACAAGGATTTTTAAGAACCTATACAAGGCGTAGCTTTTTAGAGAATATTTTTAAGGGCCTGTGGAAGGCGGGAATTTTTTGAGAATATTTTTTAAGGACCTCAACAAGACGTAGTAATTTTCAAGGACCCATACAATTAGGGGATTTTAAAATAATGTTCTGAAAGACCTATACAAGGCGTGGATTTCTAAAATAATTTTTTTAAGGACCTATACAAGGCGTGGATTTTTAAAATAATATTTTTAAGGACCTGTACAAGACGTGGATTTATTAAAGAATATATTTTATGGTCCTATACAAGGCGTGGATTTTTAAGAATATTTTTAGGGTCCTATACAAGACCTCTTTTTAAGTATATTTTTAGGGTCCTATACAAGACCTAGATTTTTAAGAAATTTTTTTAGGGTCCTATACAAGACCTGGATTTTTAAGAATATTTTTAGGGTCCTATACAAGACCTGGATTTTTAAGAATATTTTTTAGGGTCCTATATCAGACCTGGATTTTTAAGATTATTTTTTAGGGTCCTATACAAGACCTGGATTTATTAAAGATTATTTTTTTAGGGTCCTATACAAGACCTGGATTTTTAAGAATATTTTTAGGGTCCTATACAAGACCTGGATTTTTAAGAATATTTTTAGGGTCCTATATCAGACCTGGATTTTTAAGATTATTTTTTAGGGTCCTATACAAGACTTGGATTTTTAAGCATATGTTTAGGGTCCTCTACAAGACCTGGATTTTTAAAATATTTTTAGAATATTTACAATGCGTGGATGGTGCAAGGTATAAAAGGTTCATCCAAGCCGAACTTAACGACATTTCTACTTGATATTTTATTCCGCTCTCCTTTATACAATTTTTTTTTTAATTTTTTCCTTGACTACCCCAACTTCCTATCATAAATTGTTTTGAGACTTTACTACATGTTTTTATTTTAAATCTTAACTGCGAACGAAGTAAAATATTCACGTCCAATTTTTGACGTTTTATATCGCATAAAATATCCTCCTGTGTTTTGTTGTTGTTTTTTTTTTTATTTTTTGTAAGATGCCTAGTACAAGATACGAGAGAGAAATAAATATTTTTTTTTTATTTTAATAATGGAAATTTTACTCTAATTTCATTATTTAGATAGTCATGACATCGTAATGAGATTTAATCACGCTCCGACGCGGGGTTTCGAAGTCGATGTGGGCAGTAAAACGACAATACGTGTGGTGAATTCGCAAGTAAGTAACGTTCTGAGAACGAAACCGGCCGCAAAAGGGGGAACTGTTATTTGCAGGTTGATATGATGCGGGATGGATGGGTGTAATATTCCTGGCTGAACGGTACAAAATATTGAGGTGGATAAAGAAAAAAAAAAAACATTATCATCAGCTGGCTCCGTACGCAAATAAATAGCTTTATGATTTTTAATGTTTTGTTTTTATTTCTGTTTTATTTAATATTTTTCGTTGATATGTATCTGAGCCTGTGTTCGCAACGCTCGATTTATTTTCTTTATGTTTCTGTATGCACTGCGTATCGCCCAGTCACTCTCGTGATGATTATTGTTTTTCTTGTCTCCATGTCTCCATCATGCATATGATGTTGTGTGATGATGAACAACAACATTGCGGTAAAATAAACAACCGCATTGACTGTCTGTTCACCCAGCCCAGTTCGGGCAGCCAGGCAGCCAACCCACCCATCCATTCATCATCAGCACAACCGATGAGTAGAACAAAAGATTTATTTTTCATTTCCTTTTAGGTTGTCACAAAGCCTGAATTCGATTTTGCCCATGCACCCATATTTCAAAATGTCACCATTGCCGCCTGGGATCCCGGCAAATATAATGGCACCTTGGAAGATTGGCTGACCACATCGGATTATGATTTATTTACGAATTATGAAATCTATAGGCGTCGTTATCCGAAATCACGTGCCTTTCTAATTGATCCGCATTCAATATGGCGTCTATGGCAGAGTTTGCAAATGTTTGCCGGCAATAGACCGCTAAGGAAAAATCCACCCAGTTCGGGATTTATAGGTAAGGTAACATAAATCCGACAAAAAAAGAAAAGAACAAAAATTAAAAATTAAAAAGAACGGGTCAACATTCTTGGGTCGCTGGATGTTTTTTATAGAAAATAATTCACAGAACCAAGGGTCCGTCGATGCTTTCTTCTATAGGAAAAAATCACTGACCAACATTTGGGTCTGTCTTTTTTCTATAAAAAAAAATTCACAGATCCTTGGGTCAGTCGGACTTTTTTCTCTAGAAAAATATTAACAGATCCTTGCGTCGGTCGGGCTTTTTTCTGTAGAATAAAATCGATAAAAAATTCAACCACCAAATGGTCTCCCAAAAACCACCGAACCAAGGGCCTTAGAATTTTTCTATAGAAAAAAGTCAACGAACGAAGGATCTCCAATGTTTTCTATAGAAAAAATCACAGACCCAAGGGTCATGGAATTTTTTCTATATATCACAGAACCAAGGGTCATGGAATTTTTTCTATAGAAAAAATCACAGCCCCAAGGGTCATGGAATTTTTTCTATAGAAAAAATCACAGACCCAAGGGTCGTGGATTTTTTTCTTTAGAAAAAATCACAAACCCAAGGGACATGGAATTTTTTCTATAGAAAAATACAGACCCAAGGGTCATGGAATTTTTTCTATAGAAAAAATCCCGACCCAAGGATCTTGAAATTTTTTCGATAGAAAAAAATCAACGAGCCAAGGCTCTTGAAAAGTCAACGACCCAGGGGTCTTCGAAATTTTTTCTATAGAAAAAACCACGGACCCAAGGGTCTTCGAAATTTTTTCTATAGAAAAAAGTCAACAACCCAGGGGTCTCGCAATTTTTTCTATAGAAAAAACCACCGACCCAAGGGTCTTCGAAATTGTTTCTATAGAAAAAAGTCAACGACCCAAGGGTCTCGCAATTTTTTCTATAGAAAAAAGTCAACGACCCAAGGGTCTCGCAATTTTTTCTATAGAAAAAAGTCAACGACCCAAGGGTCTCGCAATTTTTTCTATAGAAAAAAGTCAACGACCCAAGGGTCTCGCAATTTTTTCTATAGAAAAAAGTCAACGACCCAAGGGTCTCGCAATTTTTTCTATAGACCCAAGGGTCTCGCAATTTTTTCTATAGAAAAAAAGTCAAAAAAAGTCAACGACCCAAGGGTCTCGCAATTTTTTCTATAGAAAAAAGTCAACGACCCAAGGGTCTCGCAATTTTTTCTATAGAAAAAAGTCAACGACCCAAGGGTCTCGCAATTTTTTCTATAGAAAAAAGTCAACGACAACAAGGGTCTCGCAATTTTTTCTATAGAAAAAAGTCAACGACCCAAGGGTCTTCGAAATTTTTTCTATAGAAAAAAGTCAACGACCCAAGGGTCTCACAATTTTTTCTATAGAAAAAAGTCAACGACCCAAGGGTCTCGCAATTTTTTCTATAGAAAAAAGTCAACGACCCAAGGGTCTCGCAATTTTTTCTATAGAAAAAAACCACCGACCCAAGGGTCTTCGAAATTGTTTCTATAGAAAAAAACCACCGACCCAAGGGTCTTCGAAAATTTTTCTATAGAAAAAACCACCGACCCAAGGGTCTTCGAAAGTTTTTCTATAGAAAAAACCACCGACCCAAGGTTCTTCGAAATTTTTTCTGTAGAAAAAGTCTCGAGCCAAGGATCTTCAATTATTTTCTATAGCAAAAAGTCCCGATCCAAACCTCTTGAATTTTTTCTATAGGAAAAAAGTCCTGAATCAAGGATCTTTAATTGTTTTCTATAGAAAAATGTCCCTACCAAAGGGCATGTGGATCTTTTCTCATCTTTAAACCTCCCATATTTTATTACCTTAAATCTTTTCTTAATACCCTTTTCAACACTAACTCCGATTATCAATTTTCGAAAATTGTTTCACTGAAATTTATTGACCAGCCTCTTCAAATTAACAGCTAAAATTAACACACAACTTGATTTCTTTCTCTTACTCCCTCTTCCTTTCGTTTCGTTAACAGGTTTGGCCCTTCTACTACCTCATTGTCCAGTAGTGGATTTTATCGAATATATGCCATCGACACGTCTAAATGGCCGCTGTCATTACTACAGCAAGGAGGTGGGTACAATTAACAACCGCAACAAAATCACATCACATTATCCTTCCCCATATAAATATTTTTTTACTTACTTTTGGTCACAAAAAATTTAATAACATGACCTCAGCCAATAAAAACAGCAAACCACGACAGCCACAAAAAATCGAAACTCAGTACACATTAAAATAACATTTCCAATGAAAATCTGCGATTTTATATTTTTACATTACGTTTCCTTCTTCTTCTCAATTTCATTTTCAGATTAACTCGGCCTGTACATTTGGCTCTTGGCATCCCCTCGCTGCCGAGAAATTAATGGCCTTGGATATGAATGTGGCCGATGATATGTCCGTCTTTCAGTTTGGTATCCTACGAATGCGCCGACCAGATAAACTGTTATGTGGTTTTAATTTTCTTGGTTATTGAGGTGGAGGAGGAGGAGAAAAATCGAGAAGCTGGAGGAGAATTGATGGGGGAAATGGACACAGCACAGCCATAACATTTACACAAGAATCACTGAATTGGCGGAATAAAATTTACTTTAATTTTCTGGTGGTTGGCTGAAACGCCAAAATAAAAATTAAATCGAATTAGCAACAATTGAATGGAATGGAAAAAAATAAATAAATGGAAAATAAACATTTAAATAGGAAATCACAAGAGATGAGAACGGAGTTTTATTTACATTGGAAGGGAATTATTTGGTCGTTACTTCAGACACAAATTTAAGCGAAGATTCTTAAAATGTTTTATAGGAAAACCGTCCCAGCCAATTCTATTGGTTCTTATTATAAAAAAGTTCCATTGAATTTTGAAATTTTTTCTATAGAAAAAAAGTGTCGAGTAAATGCTCAATAAAAAATACCTTAGCCAAGGCTCCCGATTTTTTTTCAAAGAAAAATGTCCTGTCCTATTGATTTTCATCTATAGAAAAAAAAACAAGCCCGAGATAATGCACTAGATTTTTTTCTATAGAAAAAGTACCGAAACAATGCTCTAGATTTTTTTTCTATAGAAAAAAGGGCCTGGCCAATATCTTGAATTTTTTCTATAGAAAAAAGTACCGAGTCTTGAATTTTTTCTATAGAAAAAGCAGGTCCGAGCTAAGTTTCTCGATTTTTTTTTTCTGCAGAAAAAATATCGATACAAAACTTTTTATAGAAAAAGCCTCGAAACATGGCTCTTGAATTTTTTTCTATAGTAAGAAAAACCCTATCTTGGGCTCTTATATTTTTTCTATAAGAAATAGTCCTGAGCGAAGGCTATATAGATAAATGTGTTGTACATAGAAAAAAGTGTTTCTATAGAAAAAATCCCGAGGCAATGGTCTTAATGTTTTGTACGCTTCACCACACTGTGGTATGGGGTATTATGTCTTTGTGCATATGTTTGTAACAGGTAAAAGGAAACTAGATAGGCACATGGTTCCTTTTGAGAATATGAATATAATCACTTTTCACTTGAAGTCCATTTATGCATGTCCGCCCGAACGTCCGTTTGTCCATGTTAAATTGTAAACAAAGTACAGGTCGCATTTATGATCCAAATTAGATGAAATTTAACACAGCTCATTTGTTTGGCCCAAGGACGAACCCTATAGAAATTGGGAAAAATCGGTTCAGATTTAGATATACCTGCCAATTATATTTTCGTCAGATTTAATGTAAATGGTGCACCAAAGCCCCTATATATCTCTCGATTTGCCCGAAATTTAGCACAGCGTACTGAATTAAGTCTAGAATGATGTCTGCCAAGTTTCGTGAAAATCGGTTCAGATTTAGATATAGCTCCCATATATGGTTTCGTCCGAATTCAGGTAAATGGTGCACCAAAGTCCCTACATATCTGTCAATTTGCACGTAATTTGGCACAACATACTGAATTGAGCCTAGAATGATGTCTGCCAAGTTTCGAGAAAATCGGTTCAGATTTAGATATAGCTCCTACATGTAGTTTCGTCCGATTTCATGTAAATGGTGCATCACATATATCTTTCGATTTGCACAAAATTTGGCATAACGTACTGTATTGAGCCTAGAATGATGCCTGGCATGTTTCGTAAAAATCGGTCCAGTTTTAGATATAGCTCCTATATATAGTTTCGTCCGATTTCGTGTAAATGGTGCATCACATATATCTTTCGATTTGCACGAAATTTGGCATAGCGTACTGAGTTTATCCTGGAATGATGTGTGCTGAGTTTCGTGAAAATCGGTTGAGATTTAGATATAGCTCCCATATAATATAGATTGATTTTAAGTAATTGACGCACCAAAGAACCAATATATGGTTGATAGGAACAAAACGTATTGAACGTAGTATAACCTAACCTGCGACAAGTTTCGTTGTAATCGGTCATATTTGGATATAGCTTCCATATATATTTTCGTCCCATTTTAAGTAAATTGTGCATCAAACTCCTCATGTTTGTCAGATTGACATTAAATTTTGCACAACGTACAAAATATCTAGAAGTACAGGCATAACCCAACGGGTGACTTATTGATATTTGTTTGAAGTCGATTTACATACTTTTCTGTCCCATTGTAACAAACGAATGTCATGTTTATGGATAGATCTAGGTCGTTTCACATTTACATAAATATCACATATTTTATTTCGTACAATTTCACGATAATCATAAATGCGACCTGTACTTTGTTTACAATTTAACATGGACAGACAGTCGGACGGACGGACATGCATCACTTGGAAAGTGATTTTAGGCATATTCTCAAAAGGAACTATGAGTCTATCTCGTTTCCTTTTGCCTGTTACAAACATATGCACAAAGACATAATACCCTATACCACATTGTGGTGAAGGGTATAAAAAACATAACCCCGAGGAAAGTCTCTTGAATTGTTTTCTATAAAAACAGCCCTGAGCCAAAGCTCTTGAATTTTTTTTCTATAAAAAACAGGCCTGAGCCAAGGCTCTTGATTGTTTTCTATAAAAATGTGGTTCTTAATTTATGTGGTCCTTAAAAAATATTCTCATATAGTCCTTAAAAAATATTCTTTTTAAAATCCACGCCTCATATAGTCCTTAAAAAATATTCTTTTTAAAATCCACGCCTCATATAGTCCTTAAAAAATATTCTTTTTAAAATCCACGCCTTGTATAGGTCCTTGAAAAAATATTCTTTAAAAAATCCACGCCTTGTATAGGTCCTTGAAAAAATATTCTTTAAAAAATCCACGCCTTGTATAGGTCCTTGAAAAAATATTCTTTAAAAAATCCACGCCTTGTATAGGTCCTTGAAAAAATATTCTTTAAAAAATCCACGCCTTGTATAGGTCCTTGAAAAAATATTCTTTAAAAAATCCACGCCTTGTATAGGTCCTTGAAAAAATATTCTTTAAAAAATCCACGCCTTGTATAGGTCCTTGAAAAAATATTCTTTAAAAAATCCACGCCTTGTATAGGTCCTTGAAAAAATATTCTTTAAAAAATCCACGCCTTGTATAGGTCCTTGAAAAAATATTCTTTAAAAAATCCACGCCTTGTATAGGTCCTTGAAAAAATATTATTTAATAAATCCACGCCTTGTATAGGTCCTTGAAAAAATATTCTTTAATAAAACCACGCCTTGTATAGGTCCTTGAAAAAATATTCTTTAAAAAATCCACGCCTTGTATAGGTCCTTGAAAAAATATTCTTTAAAAAATCCACGCCTTGTATAGGTCCTTGAAAAAATATTCTTTAATAAATCCACGCCTATAGGTCCTTGAAAAAATATTCTTTAATAAATCCACGCCTTGTATAGGTCCTTGAAAAAATATTCTTTAATAAATCCACGCCTTGTATAGGTCCTTGAAAAAATATTCTTTAATAAATCCACGCCTTATTTAGGTCCTTGAAACAATTTTCTTTAAAAAATCCACGCCTTGTTTAAGTCCTTGAAAAAATATTCTTTAAAATGGTCGTTAAAAAATATTCTTATAAACATCTTTATATGGCCCTTAAAAATATTTTTTTTAATTTTATAAAAAAGTAAAACTGTCGCCCGGCCGATCTTTTTATATCCTCTTATGGGTTTATGTGCTTTTATTTTCTATAAGAAATATTAATTTATTTTCTAAAACTGCGATTTATTTCTAATAATTTTTTTTATATTCAATTAAGACTATCATTTTGAGAAGATTTCCGTCACACTGTAATCTTATTAGCATTTTACACCTTTTTGTTTTTTAAAGGCAAATCCATTTACACAGCAGATTGTTTTTTAAATAATTATTTGTTTATTGAACTTGAACTTCTGGCGGGTTGAAAAAAAAAAACAACAACAAGAAATTAAGTAAATAAATCAGAAAATATGCATAAATGGCAGAATGAAAAAAAATCACAAAGCCATTCTAAAGAGGAGGAGACGCATTATTGTAATTAAATCAATTTTTATAATCCGCACAATGACAATGACGATGATGGCGATAATGATACCCACGACGCCGCTGATGAGGATGATGATGATGAATGTGCCGTTGTGTTCATCCTTTGATTGGATTTCCATTGTCTGTGAAATTATCTACACCTGCCAGATGCTGAATGGTATTTCAAAAAAAAAATATTATTATTTTTTGTGTAATTGTTTGGGGACAGATTTATTGTTGTTGTTATTGCCATTCAAGACTCCCTAATGAAAAAATGTAATCCTAAAAATCAGATATGGAAATATGAGGAAGAAATTCCAATTTTATTTCCTTTTTTCGATTTCTAAAGAAAATAAGAATTTTATTTTATTCTTTTGAATTGAATTGATTCATCTATGCTTTTTTTTGGAATTGTTGTTGTTATTATTGTTTTGTTTTCTTAAATATTTCCGTAATATTGAAATGCATTCTCCAGGTATGTAGTAATTGTTATTTCTTTTGTTTATTTTCAAGATTTTTTAATTCGGTTTTTATTTTTGTTATTTTGCCAGGGTTACATTCGTCATTAACTGCCAGAGACTAACAGGCATCGTAGGTTCAGTGGCATTGAATGCAAAATAGGTAGACAGGTCTTTAACTCCCACATATTTGGAACATATAGAGATAGAATCTTTCTTTGCATGGAATTTTTTTCTAAAGGTCATCTACAGGACTTTTCAATGGGTATTACAAAAAATTCCGAATTTTCTCTCATGTTTCCTTCTAAGAACTTTATATTATTTCTATTCCAAGAATGTCCACTGCATTTTCTATTCTAATACCCGACGATTTCCAATGAATATAGAATCATAATTTTGAGTGATTACCCTTTCTCTCCGAAATTTAAACATGAATCATTGGAACTCAAGTCTGATGAAATTCGTCAAAAATATTTTTTCGGTAAACTTAAAAATTGTTTTCTTTTCACTTGCTTTTTTTGTTTAATTGCAACTTGGACATTGTTGATATTTCAGACACGTCCACTGGTCAATGAACATTTCTCCTTAAGGCATTCC